AAGAAACATTTTACATAGAGCAGTGATGCCTCAGTCCCCTTGAAAATAGGCACCTTGGTAACTCACACAGTTTTCCCAGCTTCTCTTACCCAAACCCATACACATTCAACATTCTCAGGTGTTTTGATTATTGTAGACCTTCCAGAACGTGGATCACTTCCAAAAGATTCTCAACCATCTTTAAAGTGTTTGTGCCACATTTTTATTTGCTCTGCACTCATTGCATCGTTTCTGAAAGCCTTCTGAATCATCATCTGAATGGTTTCCATGGGGGAATGTTCAGCTTAATGCAAAATTTGATGCAGTTTTGTGGCTCTATTCACTCAGTCATCTTGAACACGACAGCCACACAGTATACATGCTTAGTCAGTGACGTCTAGCACCCCACGGACTAGTACAGTGAATTCACCATTGTTCACACATGCGCATTACAGTCCACTCTCCTTGGCTGCCAAGTTAAATTGATGTCACACAAAACGTTCTCATTATATTAATAATGGCTGGATACTTTCTGGACAGACCTCATATGCTACTGATGTCAGTTGCTAGTATTTTGTTGGGGATTTTTGCATTAATGTTCATAAAGCATATTGGTCTATAGTATTCTTTCCTTGTAGTGTCTTTAGCTGCTGGCCTCATAAAATGAATTTGGAAGTATTCTTATCTCTGAATTTGTTTTTGAAAAGTTTGTAAAGGATTGGTGTTTGTTTTACTTTAAATGCTTGGTAGAATTCACCAGGGAAGGCTTCAGCTTAACTTCAGTAATACACAAAATCCTCTGTTCTTTTAATAGCTCTGTTTCTACCCCTTTCAGTTGTTAATGTCACACAATTACATCTTAATATGTTGTATGTTCAAAAACAGAAACTAGTAATTTTTTAATGTAATTCATTCTTAAATTATGTAGAAGATAAAATGTGAGTTACAAACCAAAGTTACAATCATATTAGCTTTTAGATTAACAACTGCTTTTAGTTATTTACTAATATTAGCTTTTATACACAGATCTAACTTTTAGGCTGACTTTTTACAGTAATTATTAAAATGTGTTAATCTCTTAAATCATGTAGAAAACCAAAAGGGCAACCATTTTTGCAATACTACTAGCTTTTATAATTTTGTATTATGTTTTTATAATTACCAATTATGTTTTATTTACAGTTATATAATATGTATTTACCTTTCCTAAGATCTTTATTTATTCATAAAACTTTGAGTTACTATGTTACTATTTCCTTTCATTTCAACTTGTAGGATCTTTAGCACTTCTTCAGGGCAGTTCTAGTGGTGACACACTCTCTTATGTTTTGTACATCTGAGAGTATCTTAATATTTCCCTCATTTTTGAGGGATTGTTTTGCTGGAAATAGGATTCTTAGTTCACAGTTTTTCTTCTTTTAGCTCTTTGAATATATCCACTCTTTGTCTTCTGGCCTCCAAAGTTTCTGATGAGAAATCTGCTGATAATCTTATTGAGACTTTCTTCTGTGTGGTGAGTCATTTCTCACCTTGCTGCCTTCAAAAATCTGCCTTTTTTTTTTTTCTTTGCCTTTGAAAGTTTTATTATAATGTATCTCAGTGTGAGTCTCTATGACTTCATCTTACTTGGAATTCATTGAGCTTCTTGAGTGATTATATTCATGTCTTTCGTCAAATCTAGGAGGTTTTGTCCATTGTTTCTTCAAGTAGTCTCTGCCCCTTTTTTTTCTCACTTCTCCCAATGGGACTTTCACAAGACATAAAGTGGTCTGTGTAAGCAGTCCTCTTGGGTAAAAGGCAGGCATTGCTATCTTTTTATAGATGGAGAAAGTGAGTTTCAATAATAGTTGTGATTTACCTGTAGTCAAATGTCACTAAATGATAGTGTGAGGTTAAGAGAGACCTAGACCAGGTCTTGAGATACAGTGTCACTTCAATCAGGTATATATATGGAAGGGTTTTTCTTCATTTGAAATGTCTTTCACATAGATTCTTCCCAAGTCTTTTTATTATTGTTGTTTGATTTCTTCCTAAGCAAAATTGAAATTCCACATTACCCATTCTGCTACTCACTGGCCTGGTTAAGGATCCCAAGGTCTTAAATTGGCTAGGTTAGCTACTGTTTTTATTTTTGTGCCCTTTTTGTGGCCAAATTTTATACATCTCTTCTATTGTGCTAGCCCATTCACTCCCATTCCCACTTCCACCAAATTGGAAAGCTATGGAGTACTAGTTTGGCAGATGCCATTTCGATATTTTATAATATGAGAACTTAGAAAACCTCAAGTTAGTAGGTCAGGGTACATTTATTCCAGGATAGATGTTTTAATTCCCCATCTACTAATACAATCATTCTTAGACATTTTTATCATTATTTTAGGTGGTTAAACTTGTGACAGTTATATCATTATGCCTCTTGAGCTTCATTGCTTTCTGTAGCCTCTTATTTTGGACCATTTTTTGTGATATATCTTTTTCAAATGGCTAGGATTGGCCAGGCACAGTGGTCCACGCCTGTAATCTAGCACTTTGGGAGGCCGAGGCAGGAGAATCACTTGAGGTCAGGAGTTAGAGGCCAGCCTGAGCAAGAGTGAGACCCTGTCTCTACAAAAAAATAGAAAAATTAACCAAATGTGATACCATGTGCCTGTAGTCCCAGAGTTAGGCAAAAGGATCACTTGAGCCCAGGAATTTGAGGTTACAGTAAGCTATAGTGAGGTCACTACACTCTAGACAGGGCAATAGAGTAAGACCCTGTCTCAAAAAAAAAAAAAAAAAAAAAACCTAGGTTTTTGTATCATCCTGATATTTTTTTAAAATTGAAATTCTAGATTAATCCTTAATGTGAACATTCATGGTTTTTGTCCAATTTCAAGTTTTTTATTCCCAGGGTTTCCCTACAGGTTGAGCATTTATTCATCTTAATTCTGACATGATCTACAAATAAACTTATTGTACATATATTACTTATCTAGTGTCCTTAAATCAAATTATAAATCATTTTTACTGGTCTTTATATAGTCTTTGTTCTGCAATGAACTTTAAATGTTAAAATAAGTTTTGTAGTCTGAATGATAATATCTTAATTGCAACTCTAACCCATAGTATTTCACAACTGCCTTAGCTATTGACCTCTTATAAATTGAGTACTTAATATGATTTTTTGCTTTACTTTTTATTATGCAAAGTTTCAACAATACTCAATTGTAGCAAGAATAATGCAGTGAACTCCATGTATACCCATCACGAGCTACAGCAGTCATCAACCTATGTGCACTCTTATTTGAACCGTAACGCCTCCTACTCCCAACCTCTCATTGTTTTATATTGAAATAAGCATAACACTTTATATCATTTTGCTTATGTATATTTCGATATTAGCAAGACTTTTTAAATGATTACAATCAAAAGGTAACTTCTATACGATGATGAGTTGGTGCTGGTAAGCAGCTAACATTATAATAATTATGATATAAATTATATTTTTATAAAAACCAACTTCTTCCACTACATGTTTGATAATGACCAGGCAGAGGGAACCAAAAGGTTTCTTGCCATAATATTTGAAAAATGTAACTTAAAATAGCCTTGTTCTTTCTTGCCACCTCCTCTGTAATTGCTTAAGCAGAATAAGCAGTGAAGCTTTTTAGCCGTGAAGTTGTATCATTAATTTTTTTAGTGAAGTGAAATATTACCAATTTGAGTAATCTCAATATGCCATTGAGAAATGAATAATTTCAAATACTTGTAAAATCTCTAACGTCTATAAGTTGAGTATCTTTGCTTAAATAACAATCTTTCACATGGAATTTTTGTTTATTAGGTTGGTTTTCACTGAATCATTCAAAAGTAGACTATTATATTCAGTGGTATGGCTGAATATAAAGTACTGTAGTTAATGGTCTATTTATATATAACAAAGTATTACCTACTAATTTTTAACCTGCTGCTTTGTGTAACCCAAATGTATATATACTATATGATTTTTTAAACCATGAAACTGTGTTGTCTTTATATTACTATTTTATCATATGAAGATCCAAATCTAATACTTTGTTGAAAATAATGTATCATATGAACTTTGAATATTCACCTTTATAAAAATGCCTCTACATTTAGAAGAAAATGGTTGTGTTATAATGTTTTCATATGGCTTTTATGTGTAATTCTTTATTTAATTGGAGTAGAACTGTTAACGTTTATAAACATATCTCCTAAAGTTTGTTTAAAGGATAGTTATTCTCTGAAAATGTTGTTTTACTTGGTACTTTTATAATCTTAAATATGCAGAAGAAATAATTTGAAGGGGAATTACATCAGTTTTCAGATACAGTTTTCATTTGGTATTAATTGTGATTTATTTTTTAGTTTCATCTACAACATAATATCTTTTAACCAGAAATCCATACTTTTTAAAGTCCAAATTTAATTAAATATATGTTATTCTACTTGTTTTTCTTACTGTAAAGTATTATTATTCTGTGGGTGGTCGAGAATAACAGTGGAGAACAATAATCAAAGCTGAAAATAATCAGGGACCTCTGCATTAAGAGTATATTTCTAAGTTTCTAAAAGTTTGCGATCAAGTTCCTCCTGTGATAGACTTCTTTTTCATGTTCAAACATAATTCACTGTGGAGAAAAATTTTTTTCCTGGGTGATAAAATGATTGGAATCTTTACAGGGTCCTAATGATTTTTAAGCAACCTAAAAAGAGTTGTTTGTTATACTAAAGAGTATTGATGGATCTTTATTAGAAAGCTATAGTGAACTTCTTTGCAAATTTTTAAAAAATATGGTTGTTTTAGCAGAAATAGCAATTTATTTCTCAAAAACTAACTGCTTATACCTAGTTTTTTCCATTTGTTTCTGAAAACTAGATATATTGTTTAACATATTAAAAGCTCATATAAAATTATAACTTAAAAGTAGCAAGTCTTTCATATGCTTCTAATGTTTGTGAACGTTAATATATTATGTGATTTACTTGTTAAGCTAACGTTTATAATTTTTTCTTTAAAGGCAAATCCTCCTCCAGTACTGGTCAACACAGATAGCTTGGAAACACCAACTTATGTAAGTTCCATCTCCTCCCCACATTTAAATTCTGCTTTTCCTGTTCAGTTTTTGATATAGATACTAAGATCACAGTATTTTTCTCTCCAATACATTTTATTTAAGATGTTCTATAACTACATACTATAACTCTAATTGCTCTAGTAAATGAAGCATTACTGTTCTGTTTTGGTTGCTTTTTTTTCAATACATGCATAAAGCAGAAATTTTAAAATAAAAATGTATAGTTTTATTTTTAAGTTTTGATGACTAATTTTCACTAAAGGCTATCTCTAAACAGTGGTCACTTACACAATGCCATGTATTTAAAAAGTCATTTAAAAGTCTAATTCAGTGACTATATTTTTAGAAACCAGGTTTGTACGTGTCTGTATATTAAAATAATTAGTTCTAACTTTCTAATCTTAAATTGATTAGTGCTTCTCTCTAAACTTATGTTGTTAAAAAGTCCTCTTTCTTTTGAAGATAAATAGCCAGAACAACAGAATCTGATCTAACATTTTCACTCCAAAGGAAAAATACCTTTGGAGATGTAGAAATAGTACCCATAGGTTAAATAGAAGTAGTACCAGTGTATTTTTTTTTTATTCAAATGGTGCATAGTTTTATGGACTGTAAAAATCCTTTACTTCCCTATTTGAACTATAATTGATTTTCACTTAGTACTTTAAAACATTTTATTTGGCTTTATATTCTGTTTGTATTTATGTGAATATGGATATTTCAGATATTTGGGGATTTTTGAAAAACTTCAGATAATAAGACTTACTACCAAACCGAGAAAGCTATTCTACCTTTTTTGAGATTCTTCATTTCATTTGATATTATCTTTCACACTGATGTAGAATACTTAGTCAAGCAGAATTTGTACTTTTGTTAGTATATTTTTCACATACTTTTATTTCTCCCTTACTTGTTCTCTTTGTTGAAGTTTTATTTTTGATAGTGGAGTAGTCAGTGATTAAATGTTTTTATTTTAACACTCTTTCAGCAGAAAGGTTAATATTAATATATAAGAACTAACAGAAAATGATAATATTGACAAAGAAAATGTACATGCATTTTAGAGGTAATGTCTACAAATTGGAAGGAAGATTAACATACCAAGCAATAAACTTAAAGTAAAAAAAAAAAAAGTTGTACAATTTCAAGTTTGTATAACATATTATTGAAAAAATATTTTTCTTGCTTAGCAAGGTATGTTAGGGTCTCCAAGACCACTTTCCTGATTGGAGACTCACAAGACTGAGCATATAGTTTACTCATGGCTAAAATTTATTGTAGCTATATAGTAAGTGAGGATCCACAGTTAGATCATAAGGCCGTATGTCTAGAGGAATCTATATTTAGACTTCCTTATACTTTTTTCTTTCCATGAAGCACTTTTTCCCCCAGCAGTGAAAATACAGCAATGTGTATGCCATGTTTCTGCCCAGGAAAGCCTGGAATGGACTCACCACCCAGGTTTTTTATTGCCAGTTGATGACATAGGCACCTTCTGTCTAGCACATGCCACATTTCCAGACTCCCAAAAGGAAAGCAGATGTTTAGCATAAAAAGTCTTGTCTCTACAAAGTCTAGGCACAAGAAACCACCCTGTAAGTTCAGAAATGGTAGGAACACTCCCAAAATCCAAGTTCCCAGATCCCGCCTAAGACTCAACCTTGGAAGCAGGCCCTTTTAGAGATATTAGCAGTAGCAGGCCTGATACATTAACCTTTTTCTGTATGTAAGGACATAAGTTAAATTTCAATTCCTCAAGCAAGATTTATCAAGGGGTGGTACTTTATCAAAGTACTTTGTCATACTTAAAAGAAAACTATATGAAATGTTGTCTTTGTTCATTTAGTGTTGCTATAAAGGAATACCTGAAGTTGTGTAATTTATAAAGAAAAGAGGTTTATTTGGTTCACTATTCTGCTGGCTCAAAAATTGGGCCTTTGATGAAAACCACAGGATGTTTCCATTCATATCAGAAGGTGAAGGGGAGCTAGCATATGCAGAGATCACATGGTGAGAGAGGAAGCAGGAGAGAGCTGGGAGGTGCAGGCTCTTTTTAACTATCACCTCTCATGGGAACTAATAGAGTGAGAACTCATTCATTACTATGAAGATGATCCCAATCCATTTGTGAGAGATGTGTCCCTATGATCTAGACACCTCCCATTAGGCTCCACCTCCAACATTGAGGATCAAATTTCCACATGAGTTTTGCAGGACAAACATTCAGACAATAGCAGGCAGTAACTGTTCTGTGTGGCTCTTGCAGCATATAGGCAAAAACAATGTTTTATTTGGGTAAAACAACTTTAAGCTTTTAAGAGACTGAGGAATTTCATTCTGAATATATTAAAATATATTCCAGAATGGTTTTTAAACTTATTTCTTATCCCATTGTTAATTCCCTGATCACTTATTACTTGCTATGTATTGATGAATAAACATAAGAAAAATTGCAGTTGCTGCCTTAGAACACATTTTTTTCTGGCTACAGTCATTACACTTGCCAAAATTAAGTAAGTAATTGAAAAGCTAATGCATATACTTAGTACAAAATTCAAAAGATGCAAAAAGATATCCAGTGAAAAGCAAATCGCATCTTCCACTCCTGCTGTCAATCATCCAGTTACCCTTGCCTAAAGCAAAAAGCGTTAGTAATTTCATATATGTCCTTATACACATTGCAGGTGTATCTAAGTGTTGTCTCCAAACTTTTACCATTTAATATTGATGCCCTAGTGATAATTTTGTAGATATTTTTGTATGTATATGTAAGTACAGTTATCTCTCAGTATCCACAGGGGGATTGGTTCCAAGAGTCCCATGGATACCAGGACCCACAGATGCTCAAGTCTCTTACTATAAAATTATCTAGTATTTGCCTATAACCCATGCACAGCCTCCCATATATTTTAAATCATCTCTAGATTACTTGTAATACCTAATATAATATAAATCCTACATAAGTAGTTATACTGTATTTTTATGTGTAGTATGTTATATTGTTTTTTTTTAATTAATTTTTCCCCCCATATATTTTCCATCCAGTGGTTGGATGTGGAACCCGCAGTTACGGGGGGCAAATTGTACATAATTAGAATATATTCATATAAATAGAATTGCTTAGTAAGTATGTTAATTTTTAGATTTGATCATCATTGCCAAATTGCATTTCACAAAGTTTTACCCATTTATACTTCAACAAAAATATATCAATATATTTTTACCCCATACTGCCATCAGCAAAGTATATTAATACTTTTATCTTTTTATAACATAATGTCTAAAACATACTAAGTCATTTTATTTGATTTTATGTTATTACTCACCTTTTTCTACCTTTTCACCTTAAAAAAATTTTATGTTGAAATATTCACATACCACAAAGTCCACCCTTTTAAAGTATACAATTCAGCGATTTTTAGTTTATTCCCAACTTTGTGTCATCATCACCACTTTCTAATTCCAGAACATTTTTATCACCCCATAAAGAAATCCTTTGCCCATTAGCAATCACTTCCCATTCTACTCTACGCCCAGCACCTGGCAACCACTAATCTACTTTAAGTAACTATGGATTTGTTTATTTTGAACTTTTCTTATAAATAGAATTGTACAATATGTGAACTTTTGTGTCTGGCTTCTTTCATGTAGCATAATGTTTCTAAGGTTCATCCCTGTTGAGACATGTATCAATAATCCATTCCTTTTTATTGCCTAAAAATACTCTGTTGTACAGATATACTACATTTTGTGTACCTACTCATGAGTTGATGTACATTTGAATTGTGGAGTTATTCATAATAAATCATGAATAATGCTGATATGAGTATCATTACAAATTTTGTATGGGCATATGTTTTCATTTCTCTTGCACATATTCCTAGGAAAGGAATTGCTGGGTCATACGATAACTGTGTTTAATCTGTCAGGGAGCTGCCAAACTGTTTTCCAAGGTCACTGTACCATTTTACCTTCCCATCAGCAATGTAAGAGGTTTCTACTTTCTCCACATCATCAACAATCTTGTTATTCCTTACTAATGATGTTATGATCTTTTTGATTATAGCCATCCTAGTTGGTAAGAAGTGATAGCTCATTGTGGCTTTAATTGGTATTTCTCTAATGACTGATGAAGTTGAACATCTTTTCGTATGTTTATTAGCCATTTGCATATCATCTTTGGGAAAATGTCAATTTAGATTACTTGACTGTTTTTAATTGAGTTATTTGGTTTTTATTAGTGCTTTGAAGGAGTTCTTTATATATTCTGGATACAGGTTCTTTATCAGATATGTTTTGCAAAAGTTTCCTTCCATTCTGTAGATTATATATTTTCACCTTCTTGATAATTTCCTCTGAAACACGAAAGTCCAATTTATATATTTTTTCTTTTGTCACTTTTTGTATTGTATCTAAGAAACCATTGCCTACTCCAACCTCATGAAGTTTTACACTTAAGTTTTCATCTAAGGGTTTTATAGTTTTAGCTCTTACATTTTGGTTTTTTATTCATTTTGAGTTAATTTTTTTGTAGTGTGAGGTAGAGATCCAACTTCATTGTTGTGTCGTGTGGATATCCAGTTTGCCTATCACCATTTGTTGAAAAGACTATTTTTCCATATTGAATGATCTTGACACCCCTGTAGAAAATCAATTAATTATAAATAGATAGGTTTATTTCTTTAATTCCTTTCAACAATGTTAATTATTTTTTCTTTTGATGTTATTATAAATGGAATTGTTTTCTTAATTTTATTTTTGGATTTTTTATTGCTTTTATATGGAAATTTAATTGACTTTTAGGTATTTATCTTTTGTCCTGCAAACATGTTGAACTCACTTATTAGCCCCAATAGTTTTTTCATGTAGATTTCTTTGTATTTTCTGTGTACAAGATCAGATCATCAGCAAATATAGTTTTATTTCTTCCTTTTTAATCTGGATGCATTTTTTATCTCTTTCTTGCCTAGTTGCCCTGTCTAGAACTTCCATTACAATATTTAATAGAATTGGTGAGAGCAAACATTCTTGTTTTGTTCCTGATCCTTAGGAGAAAGTTTTTGGTCTTTTGCCATTAAGTATGATGTGTTATACTCAATTTTGAGTATTAACTGATACTGTAATTTCATTTACACTGAGTTTGATTCTCTTTCCATTCATCCCTGTTCTGTCCTAAAATAGTAAAAACATTAAGGAAAGACAAAATTAAAGACAAAAATTCTAGAGTTCTTACTAGTTCCAGTAAAGAAAGAGAAATGAAGTAATGTGTTGAAAAGTTCCCATCCTTTCTCCTCTCTTTATTTCACCAAGACAATCCATAAGGACTGAAGGTTAGGAAAATTCATTCAGTTGGACTTTGGTAGCCTTGTTACATAAAATAAAGCTTCAGTTTTTCCACATGTAATATAATTGATAACTACAATATTCTACAGTCAACCTAAATCCATTATTTAGGAAAAACTTTAAACTTTTTGAGAGTTATTACTTTGTATTTAATTATGTTAATTTTTATTAGGAAGAACATTTTTCTTTTTTCTAATACTTTTTTATTTTTAGATTCTTACTTTGTAATGGTTTATGCTTTGGGATTTTGAATTGCCTGAGATTATGTGTTAATATGAACCATGAGTCATGTGAATATTGATAGATAAAATCTTAGATTTTGATATATTACTCTATAGTTAGAAAGTTATTACTGAATTAAACCTAGACAATAGGAAATTAATAAATTAGGCTTCTTTTTATCTTCCCTTGGACAAATCTTATACCGTTCATGTAATAGAATTGGTCCTGTTTCAGTATGTTAGTGTTGGCTGATCGTAAAATTAAAAATAAAATCCTTGGGCCAATAAGAGACTGAAGATATCTGTGTTATAAATTTTTCTCTACTTCTTTATGGCTTGTATGTGCCTATAATTAAAGTCAGTTATATTAAAAAGAAAAAAAATTGTACAATGTAAAAAGTAACCAGTAAATGGTATTCCATTATACTAGCAGCAACCAGTTGGGAATATGAGTACATTAATTATATTAACAAAAATGTGAAATAAAAGGGCGTGAAGTGCCTACCCCCAGTAGAGCCCATGCACACAGCACGGCACATACTAAACACTGCCACTGTATGTGGAAACCCCACCTACCACCATCACCCATCACACCACAGTGGTGCAGCATGCTGTGGTGTACCCTGCTCCCCCCTCCCAATCACTATGGGCATGGTTGCTAGGACCATTATGGCCATGTCAATAGGTACCCTGCTGACTGCTCACTCCCCAACTCCTGTTGCCCCACCCACCCAGTCACTGTGCCCACCTACCAGACCCCAGAAACACCAGCTACATCTACGTGCCCCCTCAATGGTGATCACCCTGCAAATGTTTGAGGCTGAAGCTGTGCAGTCACATCATTAAGGTTCCGCAGCTAATGCTACAGGCCTTGTGCCTCCAACCATGACTGTTTTCTTAATGCTGTAGACACTTGGCTAAACAAGACTATATCCTGGCCCAGCAGGTTCCAGTGCTGTTAGTTTCCAACTAATTCTGTGGGTTGGTCTTAAAGCAAATCCTGTTTTGTAGACTGCCAGGCAATTTTTTACTTAACTATAATGATAAAAAAGGGAGTGCTGATCTATTCTGAATCATATCTAGTTGAATGCACGTTTAAAAAAGAAAACACAAAAACAAAGCTTGCTCAATCTACCTGCAGTGACTGATAGAAAACCATCATATGCAAAATCCAAAGGAATGGCAATGTATTTTACAACTCGTGTTACTAGAAAATATATATATGTAAATACCACTGAACTATACACTTTAAAATGGTAAAGATGGTAAATTACTTACATTTTATTACAATTAAAAAATTAAAAGTACATATATACAAATGCTTTTGTAACATATCATCCCTAAAATAAGAAGAAAATGTCTTTAGATGAGAAAGAAGAGGAAATAAAGTCATAATTGAGTTTGAATCCATGAGAGTCACAAGAATTGAGAATCCAAAAGGGTAGTAGAGATGAATTTCAAAAGCCCTGAAGGAGAAAAAACTATCAGCCCCTATTTTAGACTCAAATTAAGAGTTAGTTCTTTATGGTATTGTAAAGAAAGCAAAGTGTAGATATCATTATTTCTGTTGTAGTTATGTTATTTCTGTTGCAGTTATGTATCATTGCATAACAAAATACCCTGAAATGTAGTGGCTTCATTATTTCCCATGATTTTCTGGGTTAACCGGATAGTTACACTTTACATGGTGCTGGATGGGGCACTGGAAAAGGCCAGAAGTTCCAAATAGCCTTATTTGTGTAGCTAACAACTGGTGCTGACTGCTGGCTAGGAGTGCAGCTGCGGCTTTTAGCCAAGGGCCTTGGTTCTCCTTCATGTGGATCAGGGGTCCTCAAACTATAGCCCATGGGCTTCATGTGGCCTGCTGAGGACATTTATCTGGCCCACCGGGTGTTTTTGCTGCTGCTGCCTGTCCTACCTAGCAGGCGACTTGTCCCGGGCCCATAGTGCACATGTGTGGAATGTGTGCTGCACTCTCCAACGGCCCTCCAACGGTCTGAGGGACAGTGAACTGGCCCCCTGTTTAACAAGTTTGAGGACCCCTGAATTTTGTGGATCTTCCCATAGGCTGTTTGAATTTTCTTCACATTATAGCTGCTGGGTTCTATGAAAATGCATTTAGGATAAAGCCAAACCCACTGCAAGGCATCATATGACCTATCCTCAGAATCCACCTAGCATCATTTGTGTCACTTTTTTTTTAAAATCAAAGGTAGTCACAGGGCTTGTCTAGATGTAAGGGAAGGGGGAGTAGACTCCACCTCTTGATGGCAGGGCGATTTAATCATGTTGCAAAAGAGCATGTGGAATGGAAGATGCAGGGAATCTTCAGAAATATCATTTATCAAAAACTCCATTTGACTTAGATTTAGTATTATGCCCAGCCTCTTATCACTAGAAATTTTAAAGCAAGGATTCAAATTTGGGTTGATCTGATTCCAAAGGTTTCTTCCCCGTCACCAGTCGCCCTCATTGTGGGGGTTTCTTCTTTCGAGAGAGAATGGGGAATAAAAGAATGTGCCTTATTTCTAAGATGTGAGCAGTATCTTGAATGGTGAATCTGATTTTGACATAAAATTTGTAAGTGAAATTTGTGACAGAGGAAACACAAGAGTTCTAGATGTAGAAGTGGGAAATTGCAGGATATATAATAGAAAAAACAAGTCATGCAAATTACATGGCATGTAAGGCATATGAAGAGGTAAGAAATGAAGGTGAGCAGTAGATTGGGGTCAGTCTGTATAGAGCTTTGATTACCATGCTATAGATTTTCGATATTTCTAGGATAGAAGAGTTTCCAAAAACACAGAGACTGATTTGGGCACTAGGGAATACTAATCTAAGCAATTGAGTATTCATTGCCAATACCCCCAATACTCAGCATTGGCAGTATTCCAGAGGAGGTTTCACAAAGGCCTAAATTAAGGTGATAGAAATGAGAATGAAGATATGATGGTTTTCATAAAAATTGAAGTATTCAAATCAGGAAGAGGTGGCAACTAATTAGATGTGTGGATCAAGGCAGAGAATGTAGTCCACATTCAAAAATATTAAAAGCTGAATGTTCCCTTTTTATTTAAGAGTCATGATACCATCAATGTCAACTCATTAATCATATTTGTACTCTTCTATTCCTTAAAATTCTTGCCTAAAATTATTAAAATGAAGATATTTTATTTGATTACTGTCACATTTAACAGGTTTTCATTAATAAATCATGTAGAACTTGTCTTGCTATTTTAGATTTTACACTCAGAATTTCTGAGCTACTTCTCTTTTCCCCCATTAGGTTAATGGCACTGATGCAGATTATGAATATGAAGAAATCACACTTGAAAGGGTAAAAACTATTAATTATCTTAATCTGTTGTTTTAGAGAACTTTTTAAATATACTGCTAAATATAGATTCTAAGAGAGAAGATCTTTCTAAAACAGAACCATGGAGCATTTTCTAAGTTCACAGATCATAAAATGAGCCGTGGTATTTTCAGAACACGTTCCTTTTCTTTACTAACATTATTTTTTAAGTAAACTTTTTATTTTAAAATAGTTCTAGGTTTATAGAAAAGTTGGAAAAAATAGTCCAAAGAGTTTCCATTTACCTTGGACTCAGCTTCTCCTATTGTTAACATCTTGCATTACTAGAGTAAATTTGTTTCAACTAATGAACCAATATTGATATATTATTATTAACTGAAGTCTACATTCAGATTCTATTAGTTTTTATGTTTTTCTCTTCCAAAGTCTCATCCAGGATACCATACGTTTCATTTAGTTCACGTCATCTTAGATTCTTCTAGACAGTGATAGTTTTTCTTGCTTTTAATTTTGTTTTTACTATTTATATGCTTATAAAAATAAAATAATCATTTAAAATAGGTATTTAGTATCCTAGGCATTGTCTCAATTTTCTTTCCTAGCAAAATAACCATAGTTCTAATGGACAAGACCATATTAAAAACTTATTATCATGCATTCTCCCAATTAGAAAATAACTTAAGGATGCCATCTAGATGTGTAAGTTTTCTTGAGATGTATTTTCCCCGTAAAATATCTGCATTCAGGAGCTGGGTGCGGTGGCTCACGCCTATAATCCCAGCAACTCAGGAAGTATGAAGTGGGAGGATTGCTTGAAGCCAGGGGTTCAATACCAGCCTGGGCAACATGGCCAGACTCTGTCTCTTGAAAAATCTTAAAGAATAAACCAGTCATAGTGGTGCATGCCTATAGTCCCAGCTACGAGGGGGAGAAAGATCGCATAGGACCAGAAGTTTGAGGCTACAGTGAGCAATGATCACACCACTGCACTTCAGCCTGGGTAACAGAGCAAGACCCTGTCTCTGTTAAAAAAAAAAAAAAAAAAAAAAATCTGCATTCAATTTATAGTGTATTTTAGTAATGCCACCTTGTCTGACTAGCATTTTATGGAAATTTAGTGTTCTATACAAGTAAATTTTCTAAATGAATGAGTATATATTTAACACTAAAATCCTAGATTAGATTTATTTTTGAAGCTAGAATAAGACTCTGAGAAAAATAAATAGAATTCAGAGGGTCTGCTACATGTATAATAGATTTTATTGCCTACAAACCTAAATTCAGGTCACCTATTCAACAAGTTAGGTAGATGCCTGAATAACATTCAAGTAAGCACAGTATTAACATATTGTACATATTTTAATATGGTATTTTGTGACATTTCCAGAATTTTTATTTTATTCATTTTTCATCCTTTCCCGGTGCCTCTTTAATTTCTTTTATTTAGTCAAGACTATACATTGCGTTTTCAGTGGTTGAAAAATAAGTACGTAAGTAACTTGGTTACGCCACCCCCAGTTAGTTATTGAGATTCTAGTAACTTTTGAGGAGTTTAGGTTGAAAAACATTTTTTTATTAAAATAGAATTTTAAGACAAATGGTAGTAGAGTGGGTATTGAAGCTATTTAATACTAGCAGGTAAATAATAAGTCCAGATATATCCACTTGCTTGCATTGCCTGAAATCCTGAGTTAGAACATACCTGCAAAAATAAACACTTTTTTAATACCATTGCCTAAATCAGTTGTTTTTAAAGACTCATTGTAGCAGTAGAACCCTTTCTATGAAGAAAATACTAATCAGAAATCCAGTTTCTCCTGTTTGTAAAACAAGCAAAAAATAGAGATGCTTTAGCAAAATTTGCTTTGCTATCAAGAAGGCTCACCAATGTTAAATCCTTAGGTTAGGCTTTCAGTATTTAAAAAAAAAAAATGCCTTGGCTGGGCATGGTGGCTCACACCTGTAATGCCAGCACTTTGGGAGGCTGAGACAGAATTGCTTGAGGCCAGCAGTTCAAGACTAGCCTGAATGACATAGGAAGACCCCATCTCTACAAAAAGTTTAAAAATTAGCCCAGTGTGTCCCTATAGTCATGAGTCTGAGGCAAGAGGATCACTTGAGCCCAGGAGTTTGAGGTTGCAGTGAGCTATGATGACATCATTGCACTCTAGCCTGGGCAACAGACCGAGACTCCTAACTCAAGTTTTAAACAAGCCTTTTGCTATTCAGGTATATTAGTTAAACATGTCAAGGATTGATGGCAGGTATTACTTAGCAGCTACAATTTGGTTGTTTTAAAATAAGCCAGTGGCGTCCAGGCGTGGTGGCTCACGCCTGTAATCCTAGCTCTCTGGGAGGCCGAGGCGGGCGGATTGCTCAAGGTCAGGAGTTCAAAACCAGCCTGAGCAAGAGGGAGACCCCGTCTCTACTATAAATAGAAAGAAATTAATTGGCCAACTGATATATATATAAAAAATTAGCTGGGCATGGTGGCGCATGCCTGTAGTCCTAGCTACTCGGGAGGCTGAGGCAGAAGGATCGCTCGAGCCCAGGAGTTTGAGGTTGCTGTGAGCTAGGCTGACGCCATGGCACTCACTCTAGCCTGGGCAACAAAGCGAGACTCTGTCTCAAAAAAAAAAAAAAAAAAAAATTAAAAGGTTTCCTGTTGTCAATTCAAAGGTATAAATTAGGAAAATGAAAAACAATAAAATTAATATTTCTAGTACATAGTAATTTAAAACAGAAACATTGGTAATTTTTTATTTTCAAAAAATAATGGAAAAGGAGCAGTCTAAACCTATAACAAGCAGAAGGGAGAAAACAATAAAAAATAGAGCAGAAATTAATGCAATAGGGAAAAGAAAAACCATAGAGAAGATCAACAAAGCTGAAAGTCAGTTCTTTGAAACAAACAACAAAATGACAAGTCTTTTAGCAAGACTGGCCAAGAAAAGAGGGAAGACTCTAATTTCTAAAAACAGAAATAAAAGAGGGAGAATAAGAGAATACTTTGAGCAATTGTGTTCTAATACATTAGATAACTTTGCAGAAATGAACAAATTCCTAGAGAGGCAACCTACCACTTCTATTTATTTTTATACTGGAGATTCTAGCCAAGACTATAAGAAAAGAAAAAGAAAAGGACATTCAGTTTGGAAAGGAAGAAATAAAACTATATTTGCAGATGACTTCATACTGTATATAGGAAAACCTAAGAAACAAGGAACCTACTAATAGAGCTAATAAACAAGTTTATCACGGTTGCAGGATACAACACCACTACCTGAAAATCAGTTTTATTTCCATACAGAAGATAGATGAATGGCCAATAAATAATATTTTAGGCCGGGCGCTGTGGCTCACGCCTGTAATCCTAGCTCTTGGGAGGCCGAGGCGGGCGGATTGCTCAAGGTCAGGAGTTCAAAACCAGCCTGAGCAAGAGGGAGACCCCGTCTCTACTATAAATAGAAAGAAATTAATTGGCCAACTGATATATATATAAAAAATTAGCTGGGCATGGTGGCGCATGCCTGTAGTCCTAGCTACTCGGGAGGCTGAGGCAGAAGGATCGCTCGAGCCCAGGAGTTTGAGGTTGCTGTGAGCTAGGCTGACGCCATGGCACTCACTCTAGCCTGGACAACAAAGCGAGACTCTGTCTCAAAAAAATTTAATTAATTAATTAATTAATTAATTAATTAAATAAGCCAATGGCAAGTTAACAGAAAAAAAGCACCACCCTTTGCCCCTTTTTTTTAAAAGGCTGAAATAATATATTGTTATTACTTACTCAGAAATAATAGCCGCAGAAAGATCACTTCAGCATCTGTCTTTTAATAGATATTTGCTCTACCACACATGGCTGAGGTACAGTCTAAAAGAAAAGGACTTACAGTGACACCTCTGCAGATGAACTGCTAATCCAAGGACAAATTACATATATGTTTAAAGAAAGAACTGCAGACTAGACTTCAAAAGTACCTTTTCTTCAACCTTACATACTCAGTAGTAATTCCTCTGAAAGGACTTTCCTTATATTAAGAGTATGTCCATTTAATTTGGAATCTTCATTTTACCCATACATATACTGTTATATGTCATGTTCCCTATGTTAGTACAGTTTCTAGGTCCTGCAGTTACAGGAGCCTATCAATAAAGACAAATTTTATTCAGTCTCAAATGTTTTTCCTCTATCCTCAGGGAAATTCAGGGCTTGGTTTCAGCATTGCAGGAGGTACAGACAACCCACACATTGGAGATGACTCAAGTATTTTCATTACCAAAATTATCACAGGGGGAGCAGCTGCCCAAGATGGAAGATTGCGGTATGTTTTGCACTTTATATTGTGATGCTGAATCCACTTTGCATATTTTTCTTGAAGCAAACTGGGCAACAGATAAATACAAATAAGAAACACTATCATAATAACTAATACAGGGTAGGTGCTCAAACAGCATTCAAATGAATGAATGAGAGAATTATGCTCTAAGCATTGTTTCCCTTTTTTCATTTAGGAATTCAGTTTTATCCTAGACAAATAACATTTTGAATAATAAATTTGATGGTTTAAATGTTTATGAACATATTTATAGAAATCAGGCATTTCTCTTTGTATTTTCAAATACATTCACAAAATATTTTCCATTTCTTTTCTGGTCAGAAAAGATGTGTATAAACTTATTTGAGATACAAACATCATACATACCTGAGTTGTATCTCATACCACAAAATTTATGCAGACTTTTAAAAAATTAATATATTTTCTTAATTGAATAGATGAAAATAACATTGGTGTTTTACTTAAATTTAGTACTTCATTTTGGAGGGTGTCTTTTGCAAACTTTGTTGTTTCCTTGGCCCATAAATTATGGTACTTTTCTTGTTTCCCTGTTTGTTGTTTCATACACATGTGTATATATAGTGACAGCCTGAAGTTTTAGGACTAAGGGTTTTATATGGTCTGTTAAAAACAGCATCTTATTTTAAGATTATTGGTACCTTATGCAACTCTTCAGTTTCTAAACTTAGCTTCTCACTGGATATGACAGGTGGCATATTAAGTTAATTAGATATAAAAATTAATAATTTGACCATTCATGTAAATGTAGACATTTACTTCCTAATTCTGTTACTGGAAGTTTGTCAGGACCGGTTTTAATATTTTAATTATGTTTTACTCCCCTTTCCTGCCCAATTTGAGATGACTGACTGTTTTTCCTAATGGAATACCATGTAGTTTAAACTGAGACCAGAGCTAGGGGAAAGGTTAGGACTAGAAACAAATCAAACTTTTAAAAAAATATAATAATATCATGTCAAATTATGATAAGCTAATTCCATAAGAAACCTTTTAATTAAATGAACTGATCTTTATATAAATTTCAAGAAATAACTTCATTCTTATAAGTCTAGTATCTAGGTTGGAAAAGCCACTCAAAAATTTATTGTTGGATAAATCAGTGAATTAATCTCAGTTTTGACACTTGTCTCTGTGACCTTAAAGTAGTTACTCAGTTTGTTTGAACCTCAGTTTTGTTTGAATCATAGCTCTGTCACTTATTATTTGGGTGGCTTTGGAAAAACTTATTTAAATTCTATGTGCCTCAGTTTCTTCATCTGTAAAACTGTTAAAAATACCTATCTACAATCTACAGGTTGGTACAAGGAAGGAAGTAACCTTACTAAGGAAATATCTTGATTAGTGCGAAATAAATATTTGCTATTTTTATAAAGTATATCTTAATGCTCACATATAATAAGCATGTAATAACCGTACAAATGGTAGCTTTATTATTTAATATTTTTCTGTAATCTGTTATTTGCACTATTTCTTTTGCTCCTTTTGCTGGCCCTTGTGAAATGTTTAAATGTATTTATTTTGGTATTTGATACATTGGAATTTAATATGCAGTTTCTTCATTTGTACTTTCTGAAGTAAATAATTCTTTTTATCCTAAAAATGAAAATAACAAAAACCAGGCAAAGTGGAAAATCAATATTTAAGTTTTCTAATGTTTAACATTTATTTTTAACATTTAATTTTTTTTCTCAGGGTCAATGACTGCATATTGCGAGTGAACGAAGTAGATGTTCGTGATGTAACACATAGCAAAGCAGTTGAAGCATTGAAAGAAGCAGGGTCTATTGTACGTTTGTATGTAAAAAGACGGAAACCAGTATCAGAAAAAATAATGGAAATAAAGCTCGTTAAAGGTCCTAAAGGTATGTGCTAAATAAAACTAAGACAAATAATTAAGAAATCTCTGAGTTAAGTATGCATATGAACTTAACTTATGACACACATTCTAAGATCAGTAATACTAGTAATCTATAAAACTTAAGTGGATTTTTAGAATTTCTTTATTTTTTCTACTGATTTTTCTCCTAAGTAGAATTTTAGAATGTTTACATCTCTACCAAGATTGCAGCATTTGAAAAATTCTTAGGTTAATCTGTGTATACTTTTATACATTTTATTGCTATAAGCATACATATAACTTAATAATAAATTCCATATGATTTTTATATTTAACATTTCTATAATCCATCTTTAATAGTTTTTAAAAGTAGAGAACAAAATCTCTTACTTTATGTCTCCCTGTTTGTATTAAGTATCATTATGTGAAAGACTTCTAACATTAAAAAAAATCAAATAATCTTGCCCTTGAATACTTTGAAGTCATGTATAATGTTGATATTAACTTGTGATAATTAATCTACAAGGTATTTTTTAAATACAGGTGCACAGTCTAAGTTAAAAGAAGAAAGTATTTATTAGTGTGTATCATGAGAGCGACATCTGCACTAAGAACTGTTAAGATGTGATTTCTGAATTCTGAAAACATTGATGGAATGGAAATATTATAAATAAATGGAAATATTAATTCTAATATTTGGCATCATGTTAGAGGCAGAATTCCAACAAATGAAAAAGGAGTAGATGGGAGAGAGATGGGAATTTATCTGCTACTGAACTTTACGGGATTTGTGAATTACAGAAATTTCTTATTTAATATTGTTTGTACATAGAATATTGAAAAAAGAACAAAAGTATCCACAGTTTTAAAGCCAGTTGGTTCTGCCCACCACAGACGATGTTATTATTTCTTCTTATTTTAATCTTTTAAAAATTATTTTAATTATTTTAATCTTTTAAAATAATCTTCTCAAATAGTTGAATAACTTTAATGTTCTCAATTATTTTAATCACTTAATTAAAAATGTTAGTAACAGGCACAATTATTATGGAAACAAAAGTAAAACATAATTTTACAACATCTCTTTTGAGCTAACAAGTCCATTTACAAAAAGATTTTAAGATGGAACCCGGAGGAAAAAAAGAATCTGTAACTAGGAGCAGCTATATATCTCTATATAATTATCCTCTGATTGCAGAACACATACTTAAAATTTAAAAAGTAGATAACTAAATACTCTTTTCTATTTTAAAAAACATTAGTATGATGGAATCATTATGTTCTAGTTTTCAAACATTTCTTGCTAGGCTTATGTTCACATTTATTTATTTATTTATTTATGAATGAATGAGACAGAGTCTCACTCTGTTGCCCTGGGCTAGAGTGCCGTGGCATCAGCCTAGCTCACAGAAACCTCAAACTCCTGGACTCAAGCAATCCTTCTGCTTCAGCCTCCGAAGTAGCTGGGACTACTGGCACACACCACCATGCCCGGCTAATTTTTTCTATATATATTTTTAGTTGGCCAATTAATTTATTTCTATTTTTAGTAGAGACGGGGTCTTGTTCTTGCTCAGACTGGTTTCGAACTCCTGACATTGAGCTCCCGCCTCAGCCTTCCCAGCATGCTAGGATTACAGGCATGAGCCACCACGCCTGGCCAAGTTCACATTTATTGATGAGAATCTAAAACTGGTATTTTCCATATAGGTCTTGGGTTCAGCATTGCTGGAGGTGTTGGAAATCAGCATATCCCTGGGGATAATAGCATCTATGTAACTAAAATAATTGAAGGAGGTGCAGCACATAAGGATGGCAAACTTCAGATTGGAGATAAACTTCTAGCAGTAAGTATGAGAAATCTATTGTCTTTTAAATCATTTTGATGTCTGAGGTTTTTTTCTGAGAGACTCTGGAATTTCTACATACCAAAAAGGTTGACATGAGTAAATCCTAGCCTTGCTTTATTAAATCCTGAGAAATGATTCTTAGTATTATCTTTATTTGCCATTTCCACTTTCTCTACCAGCTCCCCTCTTTTTCTTTTATTCTTTTTTTTTTCTTTTCCTTCCTTTTTTTGTTGAAGTGTTGAAGGCTCAGATACATAAAATTGTGTGATCACAATTCTCAGGTTTGTAACACAATATCATCATTTGTTTATACATGATCCTCTTTTGTTTTACCTTAATTAATAATATAATGAGAACTAGTAAAGTCATTACCCACCTAAGAACTAGAACGTCAGTCAATCAGTTAATCATTCTGTGTTTCATATTCCTTTGCTTTTCTTTTTTTGAGACAAGTTTTGCTCTGTTGTCCTGACTGGAGTGCAATGGCATCATCATAGTTCACTGCAATCTCAACTCCTGGGCTCAAGTGATCCTCCTGCCTCAGCCTCTGGAGTAACTGGGACTATAGGTGTGCACCACCACGCCTGGCTAATTTTTATATTTTTTGTAGAGATGACGTCTCACTGTGTTGCTCAGACTGTTTCAAACTCCTCACCTCAAGCTATTCTTCCTGCTTAGCCTCCCAAAGTGCTTTCGTTTGCTTCTTAAAAATTGTTTAATCACATATAATGTTCCTAAATATTTTGTTTAATATTATTTGTTTTGAAACCTTTTTAAAAGCTATTGTTCTATATGGAAAGTATCTTTTAATTTAAAAGTATCTTTTAATTAAAAGTATCTTGTAATACCTTTTCACTCAATTTTTTTTTATTAAGACTTGCTATATCATTGTCGAAAGCTGAAATGCATTCATTTCACCTCTATGTAATATCCTACTGTATGACTACACCACAGTTTATTTATCCAGTCTTCATGAATAACTGTCTTAGCCCACATTCACTAGAAAAACGAAACCTGAAGAAAAGCTAATGTGCTGAGGTGTTATTGGGAGATGTGATCTCAGGGAAGCTAGAGTGAGTGAAAATGAAAAGTGAGACAGAGAATGAAGGAAAGTCAATACAAGGTAGAATATTTCTGAGTTGCCTGTGGTTTCATAAGTAAATGCAAGTTGGGCACAGTGGCTCACACCTGCATTCCCACCAACTTGGGATACTGAAGCAGAGGGTTACTTTAGGCTAGGAGTCGAGACCAGCCTGGGCAACATAGTGACACACCATCTTGAAAGAAATGAGAGAAAGAGAAAAGAAAGAAAGGGGGGGGGAGAGAGGGAAGGGGAGGGGAGAAGAAAAGAAAAGAGAGTGAGAAAGGAAGGGAGGGAGGGAGGAAGGAGGAGGAAGAAAGGAAGGGGAAGGGAAAGAAAGGGAAAATGATGGAGGGGGAGGAGAGGGGGAAAGGGAAAGCAAAGGGAAGGGAAGAGAAAGGAAAGGAAAGAAAGAGAGGAAAGAAAGAAAGCAAGAAAGAAAAGGAAAGCAAAGAAAGGAGAGGAGAGGAGAGGGAGTGGGGAGAGGAAAGGAAAGGAAATGCAGCCTATTGCTTGTCATGTAGTACAGTCTTCCAGGCAGGTGGTGTGGAACTACTAAACTTAGATCCAGCCATCTAGATAAAAGAAAGGATTTGTCTGCTGGCCCCTTTTAATATGGACCCTGTCTCCTATTATAATCTACCCCCTAGAGGTTAACTGTTCCAAATTTCTGGATTATGTTACCCGGTTCCTATAGACAACTTCTAGGGAAGCCACCTCCTACACTCCATGGCAGAGCATTTCACCTGAGCCCAGAATTGGGAGAAGAGCTACAGCCAGTCCATGTCTAGATAGATCAGACATGGGCTTCTGACATGTTACAGCTCTCACTACATGGAGCACATCAACCACCCAATCCCAGCCAGAAGATGCTAGAGAATTGGTAATGGTAGGAGGCAAAGTGAGAGGAACAGTAGTCGGGACTCTCCACTGAGCAAGCAGCCAAGGTCTAGTGGGCAAAGGGGCTCAAGTAAATATGAAAAGGCACAGAAACTGGGTCTGGTATACTAACAAATTGAGTTTTTTCTTTTTTTTTTTTCTTTTTTTTTTTGGTATTGTGAATAACTCTGCTGGGAAAAGCTACTATGTGCTCTGGTGAACATTGTAAGACTTTCACTTAACTGTTTACCTAAGCATGGAATTTGCTGGATCATTGGATATCCTAGTAGTAGCATTATTTTAAAAAACCATCGTATCGTTTTCCAGGCTGCTTGTAAAAATTTACACTCCTATTTACACTCCTATTGTTCTACATCATGTTCAGTACTGCTTATTGTTGCAAATAACAGAACCTGAACTACTTTAATCAACTTCTCTCATAGCTATGATCTCCACTCTTTCCCTAAGCTATAACCAACACCCTCTCACCATTGCCACCTACACATCACACACCGGTCAAAACAGCCTTTTATCACCACTAGTTTTTCACATTTACCTTTTAATTTCTTGGATACCATGTTTTCCTTTATGGTTTCACCAGAACCAGTTTTAGTGGTGTAGTGAGCCAGCAACCTGTGCTGATTTACCATTATAGCAGGACTCTCATTCCCTCTTAAATCTACTATTAAGCTTTTGTTCTTATAATTACACTGAAATTATTCTCTTTTCAGTCCTCATCTTCATTCATTTATCTGGCATTTTGCATAACTTCCCCCTTCTTCAAATACTACTTTCATTGTACCTAAAAGTTATATTCCATCTTGGTATTTCTCTTATCTCACTATCCACTCCTCATTAGCCACTCTTCATTCTCTTTTTCTGGTGTCTGGTACCTCCTCATCTTCCTAACCTCTGAACATTGAACTAATCCAGGTATCAGTCCTTGTACATTTTCTCTTCTTTATCAGTGCTCACTCTGTAGGCCACTATTTTTTAAACAGTAGGTTGAGAAAACTTGAGGATCATCTTTCTTTTACATTTCACATCGAATCCCTCAGCAAGTTGTGTTAGCTCTTGTATCAGTTATTTAATGCTGCATAAGAAAACACAAAAATAAATAGCTAAGACAACAACAATCCTCTATTTGTTTATAATTCTGAAAATTGGGTAGGGCTTGTCAGGGACAGCTTGTTTCTGTTTCACATAGTGTCAACAGTAGTGGTTTGATGAGGGCCAACATGAGCCACCTCCAAGTTGGTTCAAACATAGGGCCAGCAGTTAGTGTTGCCTCTCTCAGTGGAGAGCTCAACGGGGGTTGTTAGCCAGGTGTTTAATTCTCCAATGGCCTCTCCTTATGGCTCAGTTATGATTCTCACAGGATAGTGGCCAGGTTCCAAGAGGAAAAGCTCTAATGTATGGCTGTTATCAATCCTCTCTTTACATCACAGCTATGGTACCACACTGGCTAAAGCTAGTTACATGGCCAAGCAAGATTCAGTATAAGAAGGATTTTACAAAGTTAGGAATACCAGGGTACATGGCTTATTGCAGGCCACCACAGGAACAGTATACCACAGCTACATTTCAAAATGCACACAGTCCTTGCTTTGCCCAGTAGTGTGAAACCCTAAAATGTTCATGCTGCTGAAATCCTGCAAAACAATGTTAATAATCAAAGGGGGAAATCATGACTCTTCTCTGACCTTTAAAAATTTTTGTCAAAACATTAAAAGGGGCCGGGCGCTGTGGCTCACGCCTGTAATCCTAGCTCTTGGGAGGCCGAGGCGGGCGGATTGCTCAAGGTCAGGAGTTCAAAACCAGCCTGAGCAAGAGCGAGACCCCGTCTCTACTATAAACAGAAAGAAATTAATTGGCCAACTGATATATATATATATAAAAAAATTAGCCGGGCATAGTGGCACATGCCTGTAGTCCCAGCTACTCGGGAGGCTGAGGCAGAAGGATCACTCGAGCCCAGGAGTTTGAGGTTGCTGTGAGCTAGGCTGACGCCACGGCACTCACTCTAGCCTGGGCAACAAAGCGAGACTCTGTCTCAAAAAAAAAAAAAATAATAATAATAATATTTTAAAAAACTCAACTTGACTATTAGCAGAAGTACAGATTTAAAAATAATTGATATTACAGGCTGGGTACAGTAGCTCACACCAATAATCCTAGCACTTTAGGAGGCTGAGGTAGGAGGATCACTCAAGCTGAGGAGTTCAAGACCAGCCTGAGCAAGAGCAAGACCCTGTCTCTATAAAAAATAGAAAAATGAGCTGGGCATGGTGGCATGCACTTGTAATCCTAGCTTCTTAGGAGGCTAAAGCAGGAGGATTGCTTGAGCCCAGGAATTTGAGGTTGCAGTGAGCTATGATGACACCACTACACCCTAGCCCAGGAGATAGAATGAGACCCTGTCTCGAAAAATAAATTGATGTTCAAATTAAAACATGCACCATTTTACAGACCTTTTTTTAGTTGATAATATTCAGTGCTGGCAAAGGTTTAAGTAGGGAGGTACTCTCATGTGGTAGTGAGTGTAAATTTACTAAAGCCATTTAAGAGAATAATTTACATATCTATTAATATAGGAATGGTTTAATAAATTATGATGTAACCACACAATGGGGTACCTGTGTCCCAAGATGAAACACTCTCTAAGATGCCTTACTTTAAACATACACTTGCAGAACAGAAATTTTAATTTGGTCTCATTTCTTTAAAAAAAAAAAAAAAACTAAACTAAAATAACCACACAACGTTCCTAAGTGCCTAAGAGTGGGAGAAAGTCCAGGCTGTGAGAATAGGGATAGGGGCTGGAATTAAGATGGGTTATTCCATTAACATACAAAAACCATATCACATGTCATCATAAATAACTTCTGAGGTTATAGACAATCAAAATGTGTTATTTTCTTTCCAGACATCTTTATTTTCCTTAAATCACTCCCTTATTTTCCCTATCTTTTGGTGTAATTTTTTATAACTGAAAACCAGAAAAAATGTGACAATGTCTTAAAATAAATGTCTTTTGGGATTTTCTTTTAGGTGAATAGTGTATGTTTAGAAGAAGTTACTCATGAAGAAGCAGTAACTGCCTTAAAGAACACATCTGATTTTGTTTATTTGAAAGTGGCAAAACCCACAAGTATGTATATGAATGATGGCTACGCACCACCTGATATCACCAATTGTGAGTCTGTTGGCTTAAGTTTAAATTTATCTTATTTCTTTAGATATGATACACTTTAATGAAATGTTCTTAGTATAATACAAAAAGTTTAAACATTATAGGGGTGGGCGCAGTGGCTCACACCTATAATTCTAGCACTCTGGGAAGCCAAGGCAGAAGGATCTCTTGAGTTGAAGTTTGATACCAGCCTGAGCAAAAGTGAAACCCTGTCTCTACTAAAAACGGAAAAAATTAGCTGGGCGTGGTGGTGCATGCCTGTAGTCCCAGCTACTCAGAAGGCTGAGGAAGAAGGATTGCTTGAGCCCAGGAGTTTGAGGTTGCTGTGAGCTAGGTTGATGCCACAACACTCTAGCCAGGGCAGCACAGTGAGGCCCTGTCTGTCAAAAAAAAAACTTTGAACATTATAAAAGTATTTTTAGGGGAACTATTAAGCATTTTAATCTATTAAATAATAGTTTTTAGAAATCTATTATAAGTCAAAATTTTCATAATTAGAAGGGAGAGGATCCTTTTTGATTTTTACTAATTTATAGCAGTAATTACTTTTAACACTTAAGGCATTATTCTCAGACTTTTATTAAATAATGGTCACCAAAGGATTTTTGCAAATAATACAGAGTCTCAGTTTGTTCTAATAGTTTTGGGATTGAGCACAGAAATTTGCTTTAACATGCAGTTTATTAACAAATAAAGTACAGGCATATCTCATTTTGTTGCATTTCTCTGTATTGCACTTTATAGACACTGCATTTTTTACAAATTAAAGGTTTGTGGCAACCGTGTATTGAGTACATCTTTCAGTGCCATTTGTTTAACAGCATGTGCTCACTTCGTATCTCTGTATCACATTTTGGTAATTCTTGCAATATTTCAAACGTTTTATTATTATATTCGTTACAGTGACTATGATCAGTGATGTTACTATTAAGATCGTTCTGGGGTACCACAAACAGCACCCATATAGGATGGCAAACTTCATAAATGTATTGTGTATTCTCGCTGCTCCATTGACAACTGCCATTTCCCCATTTCATTCCCTCTCCTTAGGCCTCCCTTTGACCTGAGATACAACAATCTTGAAATTAGGCTAATTAATAACCCTACAGTGGCCTCTAAAGTGTTCATTTGAAAAGGAAGAGTCACACATCTCTCACTTTAAATCAAAAGCTAGAAATGATTAAGCTTAAGCTTAGTGAGGAAGGCATGTTGAAAGCCAAGAAAGGCTGAAAAAGTAGTCCTCTTGCTCCAAACAGTTAGCCAAGTTGTGAATGTAAAGAAAAGTTCTTTAAGGCAATTGAAAGTGCTACTCCAGCAAACACTCTAATGCAAAACACTCTAAGCAAAACAGTCTTATTGCTGATATGGAGAAAGTTTTAGTGATCTGAACAGATCAAACCAGCCACAGCATTCTCTCAAGCGAAAGCCTAATCCAGAGCAAGGCCCTAAATCTCTTCAGTTCTGTGAATGCTAAGAGAAATAAGGAAGCTGGAAAAGAGAAGTTTGATACTAGCAGAGATTGATTCATGAGCTTTAAGGAAAGAAGCCATCTACAAAACATAAAAGTGTGAGGTGAAGCAGCAAGTGCACCCTGATCAATTAGCAGCCATAAACATCAAGGCAAGGACCCTCCACTAGGAAACAAGAATTTGGCTTGCTGAAGGATCAGATGATTGTTAGCGTTTTTAGCAATAAAGTATTTTTAATTAAGGTTTGTACATTATATTTTCAGACAGAATGGTATTGCACACTTAGTAGACTACAATATAATGTATACTTTTATATGCACTAGGGAACAAAAAATTTCCTGTAATGGCATTATTGCAATATTCACTTTATTGCAGTTGTCTGGAACTGTAGTATCTCCAAGGGATGCCTGTAATTCTGCTCTGGTGCTGCTGGTTCATGGATTGTACTTTAAGAAACACTGATTTCAAATATTTCTAAAATTTAAGGGATTTTCTATAATCTCAGGTACATGAGGTCAAATACAATCTTTGTACTTTAAGGCCCTTGTATATTGCCTATATTTGTGTGCAATTCAGTTGTGTTGCATAGAATTGAACTGTTAAGTACTTCTGTATTTTTAAGTTTCTTATTTGATTCTCCGTTTTTTAAATGTACAAGCTGAAAAGAGATTTAAATATATTTTTAAATTAGTGTTAGTTGAAAAATGATATCTGTATTTTTGGAGGCTTTGAGTTAATGTTTAAAGAACCCATTAATAATAATAATCTTAAATGTACTCTTTGTAATCTGCTTTTGAGTGTTCCTCTTATGAATTGTAGTATTTTAGAAGTATTTGTGATTTTGTAAATTACAGTGTTTCTCATTTTAGAACTGTCAAGATTCATTAGAATCACTAATCATTATAAGTTAAATACAAATTATATTTTGAAATCTACATACTGTCCTCCAATAACACATCTTATGTGTTCATCAATTTATTAATTACTCAAGTATAAATGAATTATTTTCTTAATAGTATTCAACTTCTTTAATGGACAGGGCTAGTATCTTTATGATGAAGAAAAAAACTTTGCTATTTATTTGAAATTCTTATATATGCTTGGTTTTGCATACAAACTTTCTATAAGAGCTTTGTATATTTTTGTGATTAAATATGCATTTTCAATAATAAGCTATTTTATTAATCAATTCAAGTATCCTATTTTGAATGCTACTTATTTCTTCAAGACAACCAGGTGTACATTTGTGACAGTTGTTCCACAAATTAAAAATTGGTGCTCTGATTATGATTATATTGGGTTTTTTCCCCATCTATATTTGAACTAATAGACCATTGTAAAAAATTTTAAGTTAACCTTGCTAATTCAACTTTAGCATTATGTTTTATATCCATTCCCCTCTCTTGGGCAACTATAATTATGGATTTTGTTGTATACTCCAGTTCATATTTATTCTGCATATGTAATTTATAAACAATTTGTATGTTTTTTAAAAAGCATTTGTGCTTTTTAAAATGTAATATGTAAAATTTAAAAAGTTTTACATATCAGCTTTTCTGAAGCCCTCACTATCAGGCTATTCAATTTACTGCCTGTCCCTTCCTGTAATCATCTACTGACCTATTATCAATCTGGCTTTAGTAACTGAAGATTTAAGTGCCAAACCCATTGTCTTTCTTGCTCTTATTAATGCTGTCATTCTTAGTGATGTCCAAACCTGCCCTCCACTTCAGCTCAGTTACTTACTTCTAAGATAATATGTTAGATCTTCTTATCTATAATTACTAATACCTTTATCACCTCTAAAATCTCAATTTAAGTTATCTCATTCTCTGGCTACAACCCTCAGTTCATTCACCCCATTCTAATGATTCAACCTCATTTTGATCCTCATTTGTTTGACACTGTCATTTTGTTGCCCCTCTTGTGTCTCCATTTTTCTACTATTTTAAGCTTAGATTCCATAGTTTGTCATCATATTCACTTCCTTCCCATATGTCTTCCAGTCCTTTGCCCCCTAATTCTTCACTGGCAAAAGCAGAACATGACTGGAAAAACGCAAAATTATGCTTTTAACTTATGACCATAAATCACACAGGGGGGCTCTCATTCTTGCCTGCTGTCCTACTGTATTTTTCTAATTAATTTATTGTCCTGCGCTGAGAATTTTTCTCTCTCCTCAGACCTCCTTTACTTGCCATCCATTCTTCAGTCATAACTGATGATCTCACTTCATATTTCATATAAGCACTCAGAGGAGAGCATCCTTATTCCTCCACTTTCAAATATACCTATGTAACTATATCTTTACCCCAAATGTCTGTTTTCTCTTGTGTTATAATAGAGTAATTGTTATTGTTCCTGTTGAAAACCAGATCTTAAATTTGCATGCTGTACATCATCATTTCTTGTTTGTAAAAAGTCATGCTCTTTACAGCTGTCCCTTCTCTATTTTGTTTAATCAAATTCTCTTCTCTCGGGCCAGGCGCGGTGGCTCACGCCTGTAATCCTAGCTCTCTGGGAGGCCGAGGCGGGCGGATTGCTCGAGGTCAGGAGTTCGAAACCAGCCTGAGCAAGAGCGAGACCCCGTCTCTACTATAAAATAGAAAGAAATTAATTGGCCAACTAATATATATACAAAAAATTAGCCGGGCATGGTGGCGAATGCCTGTAGTCCCAGCTACTCGGGAGGCTGAGGCAGGAGGATTGCTTGAGCCAGGAGTTTGAGGTTGCTATGAGCTAGGCTGACGCCATGGCACTCACTCTAGCCTGGGCAACAAAGCGAGACTCTGTCTCAAAAAAAAAACAAACAACAAATTCTCTTCTCTCCTGGATCATTACCATCAGCATACAAACATGCTTTAGCATTCCCTATCTTAAGGAAGTATGAGGGACCTTCCTGTAATTCAAGATACCTCCAGTTCATTTTCTCTACTTAATATCACAAAGGGTTAATTTTCCTATCCTGTAAAGATCACCATCACATCAAAAAGGAAACAAGCCCAGTGTGGTGGTGTGTGCCTGTAGTCCCAGCTACTCAGAAGGCTGAGGGAGGCAGATCACTTGAGCCCAGGAGTTCAGGGCTGTAATACATCATGATCGTACCTATAAATAGCCACTGCACGTCTGCCTGGGCAACAGAGCAAGACTTATCTAACAAAAAAGAAACATACTCAGTCAGAAAATGGGAAAGGTCTATAAAAGATTTTTTCTGTAAGAAATGGTATTTCATCTACTCAGAAGAGGAACAATACAAATTAAAATGGCCCTGATAATCTGAGAGGGTAAGTCCACTGTCCCTTGTTCTTTTACTTAGAATTATCTTGCCACTACTTTAACTTCTACTTTTTCATTTGAATTTAATCTTAGTTCCATAAGATTATGGTTGGAGAGAACTGGATCTTTCTGTCCATGAACATTATATAATTCTCCATTTATTCCAATCTTTTTTCTTAGTTAATATCTTTCAGTACCTTTTTTTTTCCCCTCTGAGACAGAGTCTTGCTGTGTCTCCCAGGCTAGAGTGCAGTGGTGCCGTCATAGCTCACTGCAACCTCACATTCCTGGGCTCAAGCAATCCTGTTGCCTCAGCCTTCCAAGTAGCTAGGATTATAGGCACCGGCCACCATGCACAGCTAATTTTTCTATTTTTTTATAGAGATGGGGTTTTGCTTTTGCTCAGGCTAGTCTTGAACTCCTGGCCTCAAGTGGTGCTCCCACCTTGGCCTCCCAAAGTGCTGGGATTATAGACATGAACCCCCTTGCCTAGTTTCTTTAATTTTTAATCAAAGTGAAATTTACATTCAGGAAGGGGAACCAATTTTAAGAGTTCAGCTTAATGATTTTTTGCACAATGCATGCACGTTTGTAACTATCTTTCTGATCAAAATATAAAACATTTCTAGCACCCTAGAAGGCTCCCTCAGGCCCCTTCTTAATTAGTATTCTACCCAGAGGTAATACTTTCATGTTTGTATATTAGATTTGCCTGTTCTTAGAGATACATATGTGTCTGTGTGTGTATGTGTTACTATATTATACGTAGATATATTAGATCTCCTGGTTCTTAAATTTCTTGTATAATTTGTACTTTTTGTATCTTCCTTCTTTTACTCAACATTAGATATGTGAGATGTATCCATGTGGTTGTTTGGGTGGTCTTTTAATTTTTAAATTCCACTATGTGAACATACAATAAATTTTCCATTTTATTGTTGAGTCACTTCTAGTTTTGATTAATTATGAATATAGCTGCTATGGACATTTTTCACATGCCTTTATCAGATATAAGGACTCACCTCTCTTGGAGTGAGATTTGTATGTTATAGGGTAAGCATATGCTTAGTCTTCAGTTGATACTGCCAGTTTCCAAAGTATTGGAAACAATTTATACCCCAGTTTCTCTATGTCCTCACCAGTTCTTGGTGTTATCAGTCTTTTTAATTATGGATATTATGTGTACATTTAGAGTTACCTCATAATTTTATTGTTGAGTTTTTATTTTTTTATTGATAGTTTTTCCTGATGATTAATAATGTTCATCACTTTTGCCTGTGCTTATTGCTTTGCTATCATCTTCTGTGCAATATCTGTTATAAATTCTAATTACATTTTTCTCTTGGTTTTGTCTGTTTTTCTTATTGATTTGAGGGAAGTTTTATGTATTTGAGAAATAACTCTTTAATCAGTTATATCTATTGCAAATGTCTTCACCAAGTTTGTTTTCCCTTTTTCCCTCTATTAATGGAGATTTTTGATGGATTAAATTTCTTTAAATTAAGTCAGTTTATCAGTCTTTTCTGTCATGGTTAATGCTTTTAGTGACCCATTGAAATTTATTCCTATCCCAAGGTCAAAAGGGACCTCTAGAAGCTCTATTGTTTTGCTTTTTACATTTAGATCTGATTTAATTTTGATTTAATCTTTGCATGTAACATGAGTTTTTTTAAATATATACAGATATCCAGTTGATCCAGCACCATTTTATGAAAAGACCATCATTTCTGCCAGAAATTTTATTGGTCTTTTGTTATATTTTAGGAGACCATGTTTTGTGGGTCTCCATTCATCTATTTGTTTTTGTGCCAACACTACAGTCTCTTAATTATAACTTTATAATAGGTATTGAATTCTATTAATGTAAGTCTTTCAATTTGTTATTCTTCAAGATTATTTTGGCTCTTCTTTGGATTTCCTTATTAATTTTAGAATCAAAAAATTTTACAGATCTATTTAGAAAAAATTAAAACTAAGTCTTTTAACCAGTCCATGAACATGATATCTCTGTCCAATTACTATGGTTCTTTTTTCTTTTTCTCAGCAGTGTTTTTTATAATATAATATGGGTTTTATAAATCTTTTGTTAAATTTAGTCCTAGGTATATGACATTTTCTATGCCATTATAAATGATACTGCTTTTTAAATGTTAACTGCTATATAAGAAATAAGACTGGCATTTATATATTGATTGTATAGTCAGCAGTGTTGTTAAATTCATTACTTACAATCTTTTACAGATTTTTTTTGGATTGTCTATGTATATAGCCATGTCATCTGTGAACAATGACAGTTCTTTATACTGTTCATTTCCTTTTTTCTTGTCTAATGCACTGATAAGACGTCTAATTGAATGTCAAGTAGAAATAGTGATAATGAATATCACTTTCATGTTCACAGAGGGGGGGGGGATGCAGTATTTCACAGCTGCATGTGATTGTTACCAGTAAGGTTTTTTGTAAATATCCTTTATCAGATAAGAAAGTTAACCTCTACACCTGGTTTATGGAGAGTTTTTATCCTGTGAGCTTTTAATTTCATCAAATTATTTAGTGAGAGGATTTTTTTTCTCCTTTATTCTGTTAATGTATTAAATTACATTGATTTTCTAATGTTAAACCAACCTTCCACTTGTGGAAAAAACCCACATGGTCATGATATATTTTCTGTACCATTGGTTTTGAACTGCTCACATTGTGTTTAATGTTGTACATCTATGTTCATAAGCATGAACTTAAGATAGTACCCTGACATTTTCCTTTCCTATAATGTCCTGGTCATTTTTGATATTGAGATTATGCTATTCTCTGAGGCCATCTATCTGGACATGGAGTTTTCTTGTAGGAAGGGTTTTTAGTTCTGATTCCATTTTCCTTAGCAGATATAAGACTGTTAAGATTTTCTGTCTCTTTTTACTGGAGCAGGAAAGAGGTCTAGGTCACATTTGATTTTTTGCAGTGATTGTCAAGCACAGATGGATGGAGAGGGTGTTTCTTGCAGAGGCAACCCTGCAAGTGAGCAGATGTCAAAGACAGAAAATACTTTATACACTAGATAGAAAATATTTGGGGCAAGACTAGAAAAAGAAATAATGAGCAAGAAGGTTATAGAAGTTATCTGGGAACCATAGAAGATAAAGAGTGGTTGTAATAAAATAAAGTAGTATTTGGGTAATAACCAAAATATGGGACTAAGGAATAAAAGTCGTTTTATTACTAAAGAAAAGAAGAAATCCATTGGATCTAATGGAGAATATAGTTTCTCTGCTGATATTAAAATCTCATGCTTTAACATTATATATATTCTCACTTTTAACTTACATTCTCTTTAGCTGAAAGGCCTTGTTAAACTTCTGATTTGGCCACCAGTCTCTTCCCACTTTCACTTCAAGCTTGTCCCCTTGCTTTTCTCCCAAACCTTAAAGGTCTTGAGTCGTTAATTTTGATATCTAAGGATAATGAATTAGGCTCTCTTATTTTGTAGTTCACTGGGGGACCTTACTATGTCAGATTTGGGGTATAATAAATAGTACTTTCTTATCTGATCCTTCTTTGGGGCTGTCCTTTTGTTCATAGGAACATTAATTTTTAGTCCTTGCTGTGTAAGATACTATGCCTTACATGTCAGATTAACTGCTTAAGAAAAGATCTATTGATAAAGTCTGAATATGGCAGAGAAAAGGTACATTTTCTGGCTTGAACATTTGATTGAATTTCTTGTCTGGTTGTCTTTTTGTTCCATCCAAACATGATAATACAGCAAAGGAATTTAAGAATAAAAAAATCAGTAAACTCTAGATTTTTAAAAGGCTGGTGATTAAAGAGGTTCATGTGGGTATCTATTGCTTCAGGGCTACATGCATTATCCCTAATAAATCACAGATACTCTTACATATCACTTAGGAAAGACTTTGAAAGGCAAGAGCCACTGGAAGAAAGTCCTTTGGCTCAAATATAAAAATGCATCTCATATGTGAACTGGATAGGAAATAATTGCTTTGGTACTGCAAACCTATTAATCTGCTAGACTGTACTAGATCGCTGAACCCTGTACTATCAATAGACATTGATAAAGTCTATCAGTAGATTTTTCTTTTTGTACAGATAGAGATGTATAGATGCTGCATCCTTTTGATAGAGCAAGCATTTTTCTGTATACCATAGTTCCAGGAATTTCCTATTGCCTTTCACCGAGATCACTTTATTCCTTTATGTCACCTGAGCACTGTGATGACTTGAACCAATGATCCCTGCATTTTTGTACCTCTAGTGGGTAGCATAGTGCTTTGTCCATTTTGGTATTCAGTAATTCAAAAGAAGAGATTGATATTTGATAGTAAATATTACAGCTAAATTTAAAATGCTTTGTAACTTTATCGTAGTAAGGCCTCAAGATAATTAAATATTGCTTTCCATGTGTTTTGGTAACAGTTTAGATAATTCAAGTATATTGTATCTGTAAGCTACAACTGAAATGTGTTACTTACCTGGGTCTTTGGAAAGCGTGGTCAGGAATATCTTTATAATTTTCTGTACCTAGCATTTGGTAGAATGACAACCCATGATATTTATTGTCATCAAAATGAATCAATAGATAGTTTTTCCTTATTTTTTATTTTTGCTTTTTTACCAGGTTGACAGATTTAAGCTGGAATAAGGACATAGGCTTTTTGCACTTATTTTTAAGCTTCTGATTTTCATTATTCACAGTCAAATTTCAACTATATATAATTATTTGAAATGGAAATCTGCAAAATAACTCTTCAAAAAAGTGAATTTATCATACTTCATATTTACTTATTTTAGTCTTTCCTATGACAGTCTTTTAAATGTCCTTTCCTGGATTTCACTACATGAATAAGTTAGTATTATATAAAACTCCTTTTTAGTTGTATTTTATCAAAAGAAACCAAATGGACTGTTTGCTTTAGTGTTCTCAGATTCTAAAGTAGTTTTTACCTGGAAACAGCTCATCCAGTTTTTAGCTGATAAATAAATATTCTCTGCCAAATTCTGATATACAAAGGAGTGAGTATGAGTTATACATTAACTTTTAAATTTATAATCAATAAATGGGGCACTGAATGACTTGTTTTATTTTTGAAGTATTCTTCACTTTCTTTGTTTTGAAGCTTCTCCTCAGCCTGTTGATAACCATGTTAGTCCATCTCCCTACTTGGGCCAGACACCAGCATCACCAGCCAGATACTCACCAGTTTCTAAAGTAGTGCTCGGAGATGATGAAATTACAAGGTAAGGAACTTAACATTCATCTTTCTTTCAGAAATTCAACTATTAAAATAAATTTTAATCAACCACATAAGATAGCCACAGTTCTTAGGATAAAAAAAATTTATTAACAGTTGATAAACCTAAACCTTAATTTTTTCCATTGGAGGATTCATTAAAGAGCCCAGGATATAAAAATATTTTATATTGCAAATAAATTACAGCTCCTTTTTTTAATATTGCTTTTTTGTAAGTCTTGGTACATTATCCTTAGAAATTAGCTTGGTAAAACTAAGTTAAGAATATACTTAGGCAAATTTTAAACTAGCTTTTTATATATTCCTTATCTAATAGATACCATAAAATATTATGGCAATTTGATTCATGTTCGGAATTCAACAAGTAGTGTTTATTTTGTTTGATATATATCCTTGATAATCCAGGCACATAAAATTTACCTTCTCTAAAACAAAGGGATAGCTGCTTTTAAACATCTAAGCAGTAGTAGGGGTAGTGACTGTTTTGTAGGCATTAAAGTGTATGCAACAACTTTTCATGAGTGTATATATTTCCTGATAGGCTCTTTATATTATGATTTTAATTTCCACATTATTTTTTCCTTTCTGTTTGGTTTGATTTTTGTTTGAATTTTATATAAAATTAGATTTTTTTTCCATTTGATTTCTAAGTCTTAACTTCTAGGCTTTCAAAGAATCTCTTTATCCCACTGTTTTGGAAAAACTGTTTATATTTCACCTAGGTTTCTTTATAGTTTTGTAACGTCAGAGTTATTAACAAGTAGTTCTCACTGATAGAATTACAGGTTTTCTGTAAAATTTCCAAGTTATAAATAAATGTTTTTTAATTTTTAGGGAACCTAGAAAAGTTGTCCTTCATCGTGGTTCAACAGGCCTTGGTTTCAACATTGTAGGAGGTGAGGATGGAGAAGGAATATTTATTTCCTTTATCTTGGCTGGAGGACCTGCTGATCTAAGTGGAGAGCTCAGAAAAGGAGATCGTATTATATCGGTAAGATATGTTAATCAAGATAATTTATTATTTTCACTATGACCTATTAATTGTTAAAGGTGGTTTTTTTTATTTTTTATATCACAAAATTATGGCTATATCTGAGTTATCTTCTTAACATTTTACATCTTGTAGAATTATAGGTTGTCTGAGAACATTTTCTGGATGATAGATTTTCTTTTAATACTTTGATATTCTTACAAGAGGTCAGTTTTATAAATGTGCTTGAGGAAAGTATTCTCTATTTGTTGACTGTAAGGTTCTCTATGTGTAATAGTAACTCAAGCTTGTTACTTGTATATACTTCTTTATATTTTAATCTGTTTGTTTGATCTGTTAAAAAAGGTTTTTAAAGTTGTCCAAAATGATGATGGTTTTAGCAGTTTGTCCTTGTAGCATTAGCTTTTTCTTTACATCTTTTGAAACCATGTTATTAGGTACATATAATTTTATAATTATATAATGACTCTTTATAATAATGGTTTTTGTCCTAGAATATGTATTTTCTGATATTAATATGGCTATCTAAACTTTTTTACTTGATATTTGCCTCATCTTTACTTCTCTTTTTATTGTAAATTTGTCTATGTGCTTATGTTGCAGTTACCCACACAGTTTTACACTAAAACTGATCTATAGTTCTACTGTGATATATAGGCCTTAGGAAGCTTTACTTCTAATTATACTCTTTCTAGAATTTTATTTCTGTTTCATTTTTATACTCCCAAATATAGTCATTTATATTTTTGTTTTTTAACAGTTAACTCACATGGCATACAGTTTTTGTTTGTTTGTTTACCATTCTAATTGTATCTTCTTTTTTCTGTGTTTCTCAGTGGATCAATAACAAGAGCATTTAGATTGGACAGTTATTTGTTGTATTGGATTATCTTATTTATTGTAGAAAATTTAGCTTCTCTAGCTTCTATCATCTATATACTAGCAGAACTCTGTAAAAAGCAAAAATGTCACTCAAATATCAAAATACATTTTAGTGTGAGCCCATGGTTTGTTTTTTCAACAGTGGTTTCTTAATGGGAAATATTCTTAGACTTTATCTAAAAATACCTTTATTTTACTTCACTTATAAATATAATTCAATCTGAGATTATAGGTTGACACTTTTTGTCTCTCAGTACTTTGAAAATGAGATTTTATGCTATTTGGCCTGCTTCTTGCTATTTAACACAAAAGGTCTGCTCTCTGTCTTATTTGTGAGTTATTTGGGTTTTTTTCACTGGTTGCTTTTAAGATCTCTGTCTTTGGTGTGCTATAGTTTCACTAAAATGTGAAACAATGTCTATGTCTAACATTTATTCTATTTGGGATTCATTATGCTTATTGAATCAGAGGAGTCATGTCTTTTATCAGTTCTGGAAACTTTTTAGCCATTGTCTTCTCACATTTTGCCTCTCCCATGTTATATGTATTCTGTCCTTCTTGAACAACTATGAGTGGATATTATCATTTTGTTCTTTGTGTCTTTTAACTCCAATTTTATATTTATCAACTCTGTCTCCTTGTGCTTCATTTTAGTCATTTCTTTAGGTCTATTTTCTTATTTATAAATTTTCTTGATCTGTATCTAATCTTCTCTGTAAGCCAAAACTAAGATTTTAATTTCAAAATACCATGTTTTCCTAAATATTCTCCCTGGTTTTTTTTCCAACTGCTTTGGTGGTTTTGATTATTAGGTTTTTCTGTTAAACATACTTACTTTTATATATAGTAATTCTGTTTTCTGGAGTTCTTGCTCTCTAATACGTGATATGTTGTGCCTCGTGGTGAATTGTTTTCTCACGTTCCAAATTTTGCATTGTAAGCTTATGTTCAGTAGTACTTTATTTACTTTTTTGTGGGAATCAGTGGTGTCTGAATTGGGGAATAGTGCTCCAGTGAAAAATTTTATGTTGCTTGTGGTGAACTCCAGGATTATCATTCGTATCATCATTTTTCCTGTGAGAAAAATAAAATTTAGAGGTTAATTTGCCTATAGTAGCAAATAATAGCTAATAAATGGTACAGATAGGATTTACCATAACCACTCAATTATACTGTGCTATTTTTTTTTTAATTAAAAAGTGTAAGGTAATGCTTTCTGAAACTTTAGGATTTGAGATATAGAGACAAACCTTATATCCTGGATCAATAGTGCCATTCATTATTGTTGACTATTTTAAATCATTTCCTCAATATAAATCAATAGACTCCTTTTCAACTACAAAATATAAAGGAAAAAAATCAGAAAATACTCCTCAAACTGAAGATAAATGTGGCTGGAACATGATAGAAAAAGCATTCCAGAAATGTGAACTGCATACTTTATGTAGTTTTCAGACCATTCTTTCTTACCATCTGACCTTCTGACATAGAAGTATCAACATATTTCTGCATCCTGTCCTTTTGAGGATCCTTTATAGTTCAAGGATATACTGAATCCAGGACAGAAAGATGGTTGACTGATTATTTACAAAAGAAGTGGAAGCCTATATTTATTTTAGTTCTGGGATCATGGTGCAACCATCTGGTATTTGAATGAAAATAACTCTTGTGCACTTGAGTCTTCAAATATGCAGCAATACTTTATTAAAGATTATAGTACTACAGTCTTAGAAAATAAAGAAAATTTTAAATATGCAGTTCAACTAAATGGCAGCTCCACTTATGTTTAAGGCTACAACAATTTAAAAAGCATAGTACTACAAACAAACAGTGATTATTGGAACAAATTTGTAAAGCAATAGAGTGACACCTAGTTATGGTGTTAGAATATAGAAAGTCTCAATAGACCATCACTCTTATCCTAACAACCAAAACAATCTGGATAAGTTTAGAAAAACTAAACCCATCAGAGAACTGAGGATTCAAAGAGACCTAGGGACCTAATGTCCAGAAAGTAACTAAAAGAGAAGATACGCACAGCAGCTTTCATGTTTGGTAGAGTGATGGAAAGAGGAGGCGTAGACAGGGATAGGGAGATATTAGCCAAAACTTTACCAAACATGTAATTGCCTCATGTGGACTAGTGAAACAGATAAAAATTCTGAGAAGACACAAAGCAAGTCTACACCTGCCTGCCAAACTCAGAGGCAATAAACCAAAGTTTGGGGGCCAAGATAGGAGAATTGGCAGAGAATCAGTCCTGAATCATATAGGACATCCCTAAATACAAGGCAACTGCCCACTAAATGTAGGAGGACCCTGGGCAAAAGATTTATGAAAATCAACAATAGGAAGAGTGGGAATGGTACGAGAGAGTTGAGATGAAGCCCTCTAAGGCAATGTGGAAAGAGAGAGAGAGAGACAGATCTTCCAAAACACAGAAAGCCTAAGGCAGATCTAGAGGGCAGAGAGAATTTAACCAGCAGTCCAGGTAGCTGGCAGCAGGGTTATAAAGCATAGAGTTTTGAAAGTTGGTGGCTATAAAACATGAGTCTCTTGAATCTTACCAGTACTTACACTGTGAGTCCCTCAGAAGGAAAGTCTTGATTCCACTCTCAGAACATTTTAAACTAAACTAAATTAAAGCTGCAACAAAATCCAATTGCAGTTCAACTATAGACCATACTGATACAGCTCCTGACCCTAGAGGCCAGACACATGGATTATTTCATCTTCTGGAAGTAAATATTATTTGCCTCAGTCTCTACTGTTATTTTACTACAATGTCTACTTTATAATTAAAAATTACAACACATGCAAAGAAGGAAGAAAATAACTTTTGGGAAAGACAGAAAGCAGTCAATAGAAGTAAATCAAGAGAAGACCCAGATATCAAATATATCAGAAAAGACTTTAAAATAATTATGATAAAATCATCATGATGATGATAAAAATGCTAAGAATCCAGAGGTAACGGTAGACAATGTGGATGAAGAGATTAGAGAATTTCAACAAAGACCCAAAAGCATAGAAAATGAATTACATAGAAATGGGCTAGAAATGGAAAATCTGTCAAATATAAAAATTTTATTTGAAAGACTTAATAGGACAGTGGAATTAAGAGACGAAAGAGTCAGTGAACTTGAACATAGATCAAAGAAAATTTCCAAACAGAAACTTCAGGCAAGGGGAGAAGAAAAAAATTGGGTGGAAAAGACAAGCTAGAACATCCAATATCTATGGAACAATGTCTGTCAAAGAGGAAATAATGACAAAGAACTTTCCAAAACAGTAAAACATAACAACCCACATAATCTCTGAAACTTAGCAAACCCAGGCAGGATACATACACAGAAAACCAAACTTACATACACCATAATCAAAATACTAAAAACCTGTGCTAAACAGCATATCTTAAAAATAGGGATAAAACAACACGTTACATACAGAGGAACAATAATACAATGACTACTGACTTCTCACTAGGAATGGTAGAAGGCATAATGCAATTGAATAATATCATCAAAGTGCTGAAAGGAAAAAAAAGTCACCATAGACTCATATTCAGTGAAATTATTCATCAGAAATGAAAATGAAATAAAGATATTTTCAAGCAAATAGTTGTAGAGAGAAATTATCTCTGGAGATCTACTAGAAATACTAAAGAAATTGTTCTGGTTGAAGAGAAATTATACCAGACAGAACCCCAGCTCTGCAGAAGGGAATTAGAAAAAACAGAAAGGGTAAACAACCTGGATAAATATAAAAGATCTATTTTTTTAACTTTTAAGAAAAACTTTATATATTTTATTATAAGACTATTGGCTGTTTAAAACAGAAAAAAATAGCAATGGGTCGTGGGTGTTATAACATATGTAGAACTAAAATAGAAGACCTCTAGCACACAAATCGAAAGGAAAGATGGAAATTATATAGTTGTTTCTTATACAGTTTCTGAAGTGGTATAAATTTTTTGAAAGTAGACTGTTATAACTTATAGTTAATATTATAATCCCTAGCTGAAGTACTAAAAGTGCCTTAAGAGTTATAATTTTAAAAAATCAGTATAGGAGATCAAATGGAACACTGAAAAAACTATATGCTTTACACAAAGACAG